TAGGGAAGGATTTAAAAAAAAGTATTTATTTCTAATAGATCTAGATAATGGCATACATTCTCAGATTTTATTGAATATTAATTTGCGAGTGTTGTTTTGCGTGACTGCTTAATCATATGTGTGCTACTATGCTAATCAGCTAAGGGACCTACGTCCTTAAGTCATAATTGACAGTAATGAGGATTAATGCCTCACAAAAGGGCACTAATATATAGCTGATCGAAACAATTTTTATCCTGGGGCCTCACAGTAACGAGGCCATTGCTTAGCCCTGAATCATGACTGTACGCAGTGTTTGCTAGGGTACGCGGCCCCTCCCACAAATCCCCCAAAACGAAGAAAATGCAATAAATTGTCAAAAATTCATTGCATTCCCCCCCCCCGGCCCCCAACAGGAAAAATTCCTCTGTAGGGCCATGCATTATGGTTCAAGGCACGGCCCACAGAGGAATTTTTCCTGTTGGGGGCCGGGGGAAAATACAATGAATTTGTAGGGGCGGCCGCCGCGTCCCTAGCAAACACTGCGTACAGTCATGATTCAGGGGCTAAGCAATGGCCTCGTTACTGTGAGGCCCAATGATAAAAATCGTGTCGATCAGCTATATTAGTGCCCTTTTGTGAGGCATTAATCCTCATTACTGTCAATTATGATTTAAGGACGTAGGTTCCCTAGCTGATTAGCATAGTAGCACACATATGATTTAGAAGTCACGCAAAACAAACACTCGCAAATTAATATTCAATAAAATCTGAAAATGTATGCCATTATCTAGGTCTATTAGAAATATTTTTTTTTTAAATCCTTCCCTAAACTGGGGTAAAAAATAATTATTCCACCATTATGACCAACAGTGTAATTATGAATTTGTGAGTTTTTACGGAATAAATTTTAACGTACATTCATGAGGCATAAACTGAAGTTTATACATAAACAATACGCAATTGATTGACACAAGTCCACTTAGTGGTAGCATTCTTAATCGAAGGAACAATGGAGAACTTGGATGTCTATAATTAGAATTAGTAATAAGCTTATTGCCTTCTTCTGCAATACTCTTAACTTATCAAGATATGACTTAAAAGTGTTTCCCCAAGCAACATTACAATATGTCAAATAAGGAAGAATAATACTATTATATAATGTTATCAGCACTCTTTCAGGTAAAATAAATTTCAATCTAAAAATGACACCTACACTTCGAGACAACTTAGTGCATACAACATCTAAATGATTCTTCCAAGATAAATGTTCATCCATAGTCAACCCTAAGAAACTGAACATTTTCAATAAGCGCAACATCATGGCCTCCAACATAAGAAAATTAATACCATCTGGAAGCTTTTACCCTTTGAGCGAAAAAATAACACGTTTGGTCTTTTGAACATTCAACAATAACTTATTACAACAATACCATGCATACAGTTTCTGAATCTCTTGATTTACAATTAGTAATAAGTCTTCAGCCTTCTTATCAACCAGCAGCAAGCTGGTATCATCAGCAAACAGGGAGTATGAGAATAATGTTGACGAGTGTATTATATCATTTATATAAATTAAAAACAACAGGGGACCAAGAACAGAACCCTGAGGTACACCATATTTAATAGAAGCAAGTTGGGAACTACTACCATCCACACAACAAATTGAGTCCTGTCAAACAAATAGCTTTGGAACCAAGACAATGCTACACCACGTATTCCATAATGCTCTAGTTTCCTGAGGAGGATACCATGGTCAATGGTATCAAACGCCTTAGATAGATCTAAGAACATCCCCAGACAATACTTGTCTCCATCAATAGCTTTTATGATATTACTTAATAAATTAAAACACACCCATTTGTGTGGAGAAGTGCTTACGAAAACCGCACTGCTGAGGAATCAAGATATTCTTTTCAGATAGAAACTCATTTAAGCGTTTATACATATTTTCTCAAGAATTTTAGAAAAGATTGGTAACAGTGCTATTGGCCTATAATTAATGACATTTTACGGTCAGATTTTGTATATACTGGTACCACTTTAGCTACCTTGAGTTTATCTGGAACAACTCCCTGAGATAAAGACATATTAAAGATTTTACATAAGGGATCAATAAAAAAGGTGAATGCACTCCTTTATAATTCTAGGTGAAATATCATCAGAACCACTAGATTTAGATGGTTTCAAAGATGACACAATATCAATGATCTCAGAGTTTGAAGTTGGTTTTAGAAACATAGATGCATTATCTTCACACTGTTTCATATAATCACGAAAAGATTGTGGTACTTGAGGGATATCTGTACTGATTTTCCTGGGTAGTCCAATGAAATATTTATTAAAACTTTCAGCCTTATCCTTGGCGGATCGCACATCGCTCGCAGCAGCAAGAAAACCTTGCGATTGCCGCTCGGTACGCTGCGAGTCTAGCTCGTACGCTGTTCGCTTTAGCTCGCAGTCGCTGGTTGCCGCACGCTTTAGCTCGCTATCACTGCGATTAGTTGCCTATGCGCTGCGTATCTGCAATATAAGGCGGGGCGCCTCACGGGTTGGAATCATACCGCAGTCAACATTTGAAGAATATACAACTACTGAACAAGAAGATGCCGAAAGCCAAAACGAAAAAGAGGGTGACGACGAGGACGAAACCAGCCGAGCCGCCTAGGTCCCATCGCCCCCGCCGGCCCCGGAGTCACGATCGCTGGATGAACACGAGGAAACGAACGTGGCGAAGAAGCCGCGGAAAGACCTAGTCAACATCTCAAGTGACCAAGAGAAGGAGCTTGCCTATACCATGGTCCTGACGGTTGAAGGGGTTTGTCGGAGAGTGGTCAGCAGGCACTGAAATCGGTTGGTAAGAATGCAGAAAGAATTCTCCACAAACGTCCTTGCCCTGGCCGGTAGTTGTAAATTCTATCTTGTCTAGCCATAGCCCTCCTTGCGTACGGCTTCATTAGCTATGTCGTCATGGCGAAGGTCTCGTCTCCCACAAAGAAGTAGAGGGTGTCTTCATCATCGCTGGACATTGGCTCTGGCAGAGGCACTCCAAGGGTTTCAGAATCAAGACGTTGTTTTAGTTCACACGAGTTGAAGAGCTCTGCATCATAGGTTTTGTATCCGACATATATCCACAAAAATATGTACTTAGCGTCGACCAGGGCCATGAGTACAATAGAGTAGAAACCGTTGTAGTTGTAAAAATATTGATCCACTATCCTCAGGGCACTTGATTTCAAAATACTTGCTTTCCAAAGCACCAAGGTTTGAGGAGAATTCCAGCGGTCTTCGAAGCCCTGTGCGACTGCTTTTCATTCCTGTGGGCTGGTAGGTCACCTCACCAGCTCATCACCATATTCCTCTATGATGGCAGTGCATACCTCACGTACTATGCGTGAAATGGTATTGTGGGGGTACCCTGAAGCTATACATGAGTGTCGTGTAGTTGTCACCTGGCCAGTTTCAGCACGGGCGAGAGGGCTTTCTTGAAGAAGGTGTCCCACTTATCCAGTCTTTCATGTAGTCTCTGCTCTATTTAAACATTTCAGGGGTTAGCCTCAAAACGTTCGTGAATGCCTCTTGGTCCTCATCTTCCAGCTCCCTCATCAATTGGTCGAATTGTCCCTGGTCCTTCCTCCGGTAGATCCATGCAGGACCGCACCCAACAGCTCCGAGTAATACTTCGTGAAGCAGCTCATTAAGCAGATTCCCTTGCTCATAATCTTTATTCGCCTCTCTCTTCCAGCTGAACCAAAAGCTTAAAGACCGTCAATACTACTGGGCCAGAAGGGATTAGACCACACAGCGAGGTCACTGACAGGTGGCTATCTCATTAACTCAGCTCTCAACTAACATAAGAAAAAGAGGATCATGGGGAACCAACAGGCACCGATTAGGGACATTTTCTACATAGAGGGAGCTAGTAGCTACAAGTAGGACAGTGGGGCTTTAAACTTGTGCAAAGCAGACCTCTGCTGCAGGGCCATTTTTGTCATCAGATCTATGTTTTCTTGTAGATGTAGAATCGTTAGAAGCTAAGATGTTTATGCCCAGTCCGCAAAATGAATAGAATTTTTACATATGCCGCAGCCCGAACAAGCTGGTACGCTGTAGCGCGAGCTGACACGCATCAGTACGAACAACAGACGAGCTAAAGCGAGCGAACACGCAACGAGACCAACTGGTGCGAGCGGGTAACGAGCAGTAAACGAGCAGCAAACGAGCTACATACGCAACATGGCGAGCAAACTGCGTATTGAATCGTACTGCTATGAGCAACAGCGAGCTATAGCGTGGCAATAGGCAGCCGTAGGCAGTCTTTGTACGAGCGGCATACGAGCTTCCTACGAGCTAGATACGCAATAGTGTGACTGCTACCTTCAATTTTGCTGCGTATTGCTGGGCACGGCTGCGTATTGATATACCCCCGCAGAGCGCAGCAATACGCAGCAACATACGCAAAGGTGTGACTGAGGCATTAGGCGTACTTCCCACCGAGTTTGCGGGCCCAAGAAAGGGGGGGGGGGTATTTTTGTCATTTAATTTGCGCAGTGCTGAGTAAATGCCCTAAATTAAAAATATAATAATAATTGCGGGGGGGGGGGGGCATATAGCTTGAATTACTTAGAGCTATTTTACATTCCATTTTCTTGTTACGTAATTATGCACATCTGTTTCCTGATGCAATAGAGTAGTGAACTTCGCCGTTGTTGCAGCGGTATTCTAGTAGTAAAGCATCCTCCGATGTCGGCGGCGCTCTCCACTTTGTATATCAACATGACAAACAGAACTGATGTTTCGGCCTCATACACGTAGGCCCCTAATGAAAGAAAATGGGAAACGGGGCCTTCATTAATTTGATATTAACTGACCCAATCTCTCCCCCGCCTTCTTTCTCTCTCTCTCTCTCTCTGTCTCTGTCTGTCTGTCTCTCTCTCTCTCTCTCTCTCTGTGTCTCTTCTTCTTTCTCTCTCTCCCTCTCCTCTTTCTCTCTCTCTCTCTCTCTCTATATCTTTATACCAGGTTTGGACCCTGCAGGCCCAGGGTTTGGCGGGAAACGGGTGAGGAACTTCTGTCGTCTGGACAAATCCGATGCAACTTTTGTTGACGTCATACACACTGACGGTGAACTGATCGCAATGGGAGGACTTGGGCTCACGGATGAGGTAACTATGGAAACTATTGTAAAAGATGTTCCTCTTTTTTGTGATTAAAGAAGGGGAAATCAGACAAGGGCTACATGACGTTAAACGTAGGCCTGCTAATTTCTAATCTAATTTGGTAATACAGGGGTACTATCTCTACCCCCTCATTTTCACCTTCCCCCCCACCCATCCCCTCTCTTTATCTCTCTCTCTACCCCTGTCTCTGTCTGTCTGTATGTCTCTCTCTTTCTCTTTTTCATTATTTTCCCCTCTTTCCTACTTGTTCACGTTCTACGCCTTCCCCCAAACTTCCAAAGCTTTGGCGGGGGGGGGGGGCACATTTCCGGGGAAAAAGGGATTTTCAGGATATTTATTGACTAACCAACAGACTGACTTATTTTTTTCACATCTTTACAACAAAAAAAATCCGTTATGAGTCATTATTCAGGTCTCAAATTGAAGAGAATCTTTAGTGTATTCCCCGGGATTTTCAAGTGTAGGAACAAGGGCGGGTTGTGGTCTCCTAAGTTTGCCAGTATTTCCCTATATTCTCTGATCACTTAGTCGCTTCTTTGTCCTCAATCATTTCACAGCTTGGCCACCAAGATTTCTATCCCAACGGGGGGATGGACATGCCCAATTGCTACTTCAGCATCATCTGCGACCATATGAAAGCCATTGCATACTACACCGAGAGCATCTCCAAGCGTACCCCATGCCGCTTCAGGCCCACCACGTGGGCACCTAAATGGGACAACTACAAGAAGGGAATACAAACTCGGGACTGTCGGAATATGGCTTGCCCCGATATGGGGTACACTGCAAGTCCCACTCATGACGAAGGCGTTGTTTTTCTCAAAACAAATCAATATTATCCCTTCTGTCAAGGGTGATAGACGATTTCAGGAAAATCACCACAAAATGGAAATATGAAAGAAACATCAAAAGAGTTGATATCAATCGCAACTATGTACATAAGAGATAGGAGATCAAACTTGCGATTGATTGGAGGACTTTCGATTGATTTGGATCAATCGCAACTCTTTGTAAGACGGTGCCCTGTAGATGCCTACTATTAAATGATAAGAGATACATTATGTACATATTAAAGTAATTCCAACTTCTTTTCACCTTCAAATGTATCCATTGTCTCGCCCCTTCATTCTTATTTGAACTCCTGCATACATCTTTACCAGGCAGCCTTCCCGGTACTCCCTCCGCTTCTCTCTAGGCATCAAGCTTCCAACCCTTGGTGACAGAGCATTCACAACTCCTGCCTCAAAACTATGGAATAATCTACCCAGATTTCTTCGCAACCAGCAGTCTCTAAATGCCTTCCAAAAATATCTCAAAAGCTCACCTCTTCTGATAATGACATTATTGTAAAGCGCTTTGATCAAAGGATATTGTTGTTATCATTATTACAATTATTATCATTATTGCAATTATTTTTTCTTCTTATTGTTATTATCATTATTTGTTGTCATTTTTTGCCGTGAATTCCTATTGTTTTTTGCCTGTTTATATTATCATACTTTGCTGTTGCTCATAGGTTAAAGAGCTGCATGCACTTCAAGTACACGCTTACGCTGCATCTCTCCTGCATTTTTCTATGTCAATGGTCCCAACATTTTGCTCCACAAATAATATTCATTGACGGTGATTTGAAGAAAAAAAATCTATGTACAAAATTTTCAGATTGTTACTAAATATTATTGTATGAAAAATGGAAAAATCAATCAATCGAGCCAAAATAAAATCAAATTATTATCATTATTATAACACAATGTGTTGTGTGTTTTTCTGTTAAACTGCTACCTCAACACATTTCATTAACGTGAAATTCAATTTTAAGTATGTCAAGTGTAGTCAGTGTATCTTTTGTAATAATTGATCATTTTCCTCTTTTTTTTTTTTATCCATTATCATTTTCTTTATGTTTTCTTCGAGTCAGAGTTAGAGTCTCAACAGTAGAATAAAACCTGTGTGTAAGTAAAACCATTCAACCTACCTGACATTAAAAAAATAAACATACAAAATTTTGGATACGTAAATTTGAATGATTTAGATGTAATTGAAATTTGTTTCAAAAGTTTAAACATATTTTCAGGGTAATAAGGATCAAATAGAAACACGAAATTTAGGAAATTCAAAAACAAAGGCATTGATGGATGGACAAATGAATCAATGAATAAATTGATGAATGACTGATGAATAAATTATCGATGGATGAATCGGATGACTGATGAATACATTAATGGATAAATTGATGAATAAATGAACGAATGAAGGACGAATAATTATTGATGGATGAATTGATGAATGAATGAATAAATAAATGAACGAATAACTGTCGAATAAATTGATGGATGAATTGATGAACGAATTGATGCCTGATGAATAAATTGATGGCTTGATGAATAAATGAAGTTATGACTGACAATCAATAAGTTAATGGGTGAATTGATGAATAAAAGAATGAATGTTGGACAAGTGTATTAATTTCATTCATAGATGGATGCTTAATAATAATCTTAAGCTAAACGATAGTAAGAGTGCATTTTCGGTTATTGGAACTTCACAACAGATTTCGAAATAAGAGTTGGATCCTCCAATGTGAAACCCTCTGTTACAGCCAGGAATTTAGGAGTATACTTTGATACTAATTTGAACATGGACACACATGTTAGAAATATATGCAAATCAACATACTATTTTCTATACAATCTCAGATGTTTTCGCAAATATTTTGATCAAGAAAGTATGAAATTGGTTGTACATGCTCTCATCACAAGTAAGCTTGATTATTGTAATGGGTTGCTGTTTGGAATGCCTGATTCTCTGATAGGTAGGTTACAAAGAGTCCAAAATACATGTGCAAGACTTGTATATCGTCGGTCAAAATTCACTTCAACCGCCACCTTTTGAGAGGGCTGTACTGGTTGCCAGTCCGCCAACGAATTTCATTCAAAATGTTGTTAATTATGTATGAATCATTGAGTGGTCCTATAGTGACATAACAGAATTCCTTCAACTTAAGTCCAGTCACACAGCCGTAACCTGCGCAGTTCCAGAGATAAATTATTGTTCCAGATTCCCCATGGCAAAACTAAAGTAACTCTCGGGGACCGTGCGTTTGTCATTACTGCCCCTAAATAATTAAATGGGATAGCTTGCCAACAGAAATACGAAGCTCTTCATCTCTCGATGTCTTCAAATCCAAATTCAAAACACATTTGTTCAATTGAGATATTCTATTTTGTAGAATTCAGTATCAAAATAAGGAGCTCTGAACCAGCGCAGCTGATTATATTTTGTAAAAAGCTGCGCTATAATTTCATTATAATTATTATTAAAATTGATGGATAAATGAATAAATAAATGAACGAATGACTGACAAATAAATTAATGGATGATGGATGATTGAATGAATGTCTAAATCATGAAATTAATTCAGGGGCTCCCATCCAAGATGGCGGCCATAAAAGTAAAGACTAAGATCCGAAAGTTTGACAAAATTTGAAAAGTGAAGAAAAACAAAGCAATTGACCAACCAAATAAAAAATAGATAAAAACAAATAAGAAAACAAACAAAAGAAAGGAAAAGTATCACAGCGTTATAATAGCACCCACATTGGTATGTTTTGCTTAATCGTCTTTAAAATTTGAATAAATCAAATCAAATCAAATCAAATCAAAGCTATACGCGTACAGCTTTCTTTTGCAGCAGGAGAATATTATTAGTCACATACTTGGATGTTGCCAAAAAAAATTACAATAGGATAATTGTATATGGTAAAATTAGACTATGATATGGCATAAGTAAAACATTTCATTCTACACAGTACGCCAATATTTCTGGAGACTGGTATAACAAAACAATGTGTTTTACATGGTCGCTCCAGTCAAGTGGCATTGATATATAGACACCAAGAAACTGTGTACATTTCTTTCTCTCTATAGAAATATTATCTAGTTTAATATTTAGTGCAAGGATGTCATTAGATTTTATATCTCTATAATATATCAATATAATCATATCTAACATATAATGTTATAGGCAAGGCCCGCTGGAAGAGCAGTTTCATAACTGAGGTGGCTACCCTGGTTAAATAAAACGTTATTATTATTATTATCATTAATTCTATAAATTCATATTGTCTGGGAGGACAAGCACTTTCAATATCCCCATAGGAAAAGAATAGACTGGGGCTGTAGTCTCATTTCAAGAAAGGAAAACAATTTCGGTACAGTTCAGAATAATGCTGGGAAAAGGAAATTCAAATGATACCGTTTTAAAAACCAGGAAGATATGGAGATAATTCATTGCTCGGAAGTCTTGACTGTATTTGAAAAAGAGCATCCAATATACCTGATATCTAATAGTACACTGTCAATCAATATACTATAGCTTTCAATAGACTTGAATGTGAAAGGCCCTTTTTGTATCACCTCGTGCAAGATTAGGGCGCTTTAATTAGAAGTAAAACCGTGTCCATCATTGTTTTTATACGTTGCAAAGTTAAAGAGAATGAATAAAACGAGGAAATTAAAATTGAAAACTAATTGTAAACCATAACCTGTCCAGTGGCGGATCCAGGGGGGGGGGGGGGGGCCCGGGGGGCCCGGCCCCCCCCCCCCCCCTTGAGAAAAAAATCATGTAAAATCACGTGAATTTTACCTTTTTGGGGGTTGGCCCCCCCCCCCTGGCGCTCAAGGGGGGGGGGGGGGGGGTGCAAATTGAATTTTTTTTGAGGACCAAAAAAAAAAAATGTGCTCACTAACCCCCCCCCCCCCCCCCCCCCCCCCCCCCTCCCCCCCCCACTGAGCGTTTTTTTCGGCCGGCGCGATTTTCAAATTTTCGTGAGCAAAAAAAAAAAAAAAAGTTGGGCCCCCTCCCCTAAGAAATCCTGGATCCGCGCCTGAACCTGTCAATAAGAGGCTCTTGAATCAATTTTGAAAAATGGACATGGCTTTGTGGCTAAAGCTACCGGCCGCAGGCCACGCTGACTGGCGCAGCTATAACCCCTTAAATCATTATATAATATATATATATATCACATATGATCAAATTATTTCGGATTATCTTCATAATAGTACATGCAAAAGAAGAAACCAACTAAGTTCGATACCCCTCCCCGTTTCATAAATTTTAGATAGGATACGCAAAGTAGGCCTACCGCAGAATTTTGTATCACTGAAGTACATAAAGCCTATTTTAAAATTAGAGCATAATAATATATACCAACCCCTATTATAATATATCTTACTTCGAATGCCTAATTTCTGTGGGCGATACATGGATGTAAATATGACAATGGCATATTGTGTCAATTTTATAGAGGTGCATGACTAAGGAAATTGCTAAGTTATATACATGTCATGATTTAAGTTGATTGCAAAAACAGGGAGGCGGGTTCGAGCCTTGTGACTTGAGTAAACATTATACAAACTACCGCCCCTGGGGAAAGGGGTCACGTGATTCAAATGTAATCACGTGATTTCATCACATGCAGGCCTACCGTACCTAAACAAGGAGGAAGTGCCCGTGTTCAATTTTAGAGTTAAGACAATTGTGATTTTTGGATGTCATTTTTAGATAAAATGTCGCCCCGTCATATGGTACTGGTGTGTTTCATCCTGGTGGCAAGTAAGTACCTATCATGATTTCATTTCAAGTTGTACAATTGACTCTCAGAGCTGAGCTGAGGCTGAATCGAGATCGATCATGAGCTGAGCCTCCACTGCGCCTACGCCTCGGCCTGGATCATGACTGTCTGACTGTGGTACTGCCATTACTGGTAGCTTTAGAAAGAATTTTAAGCCATGCACCACGGCCGCGGCCGCGGCCTCCTATCCTATATTCCAGCACCCGACAAACGTTAAGTTGCAGACTGAACTTCACAAGTGGACCCTTCCTTCTACTCGTACAATTACAAACCACTTTGAAATTAATTATGGGTGCATTTAATCGACACTTTTTCACCCTCGAATCACGGTTTTTAAAGACGTTTAGTTTAAAACGCAATTCGTTCAAGCGATTTTTTCGTCGGTCGTAAAAATAAACGTGTTTAAAAACGCAAACATGAAACGCTGAAAAAGATGCGTTTTGTATCATGATTCTGCAGAATCACGGTCGCTAAAATTCGATTGAACGAATGTAGTCTCAATCCTGATTTTATCGTGGCCTGTTCCGGTTTGGGCAAAACCGCGCGCCTGCTTTTCATGCAATTGCATTCACTATACCATGCTCTTTATCGTCTTTATCATGCTCTTTATAGCCTGTTCCGTTATGTTATTCCTTGATTTCCTTCTATCACTTTCTCTTTC